GAATTGGTAAAAAAAAAAAAAAGTAGGAGTTATTCTTATTCCTTGACATCTTGTTTCCCCACCCTTATCATATGCCTTCTGAGCTCTGCTTTCTATCGGCCAGGACAATAGCTAACTACTCCTCCAAACTAAACGCCCACTGAGAGGGAGCCAAGATGAGCTTGGGCCTCTCCCCATCTCTGCTTGGAGCTTACATATATTTAAGGCCTCAGGGGTCCCTAGTAGCCAAGTCTCTATCGTTAATACCAACAGTGAGTAGCTAGTGTTTAGATAGTGAGCATTATCTGTCAAGCACTGTTCTAAATCTATTACGTATTTTATTTTATTTTTTCTATTACGTATATTTTAATACATTGAATTGTCTCAACCACCCTGTGTGCTGTGCTTAGTCACCCAGTTATGTGTGACTCTTTGTGACCCCGTGGACTGTAGCCTACCAGGCTTCTCTGTCCATGGGATTCTCCAGGCAAGAATACTGGAGTGGGTTGCCATTTCCTTCTCCAGGGGATCTTCCCAACCCAGGGATCAAACCCAGGTCTTCCCCATTGCAGGTGGATTCTTTACCCTCTGAGCCACCAGGGAAGGCCCACAACCACCTTAAGATACTATTATTTTTATGCCCATTGTGTAGATGAGGCTAGTGCAGTTGGACTGCCCCCATAAAACACACTCCATTAAGTAGCCCCCTAATTCCATCCATACCTTTTGGCTGCTGTGACTTAGCCACCTCCTTTGCAGTAAAATCAAGGGTGAAGGTGATTTTATCTCCCCTTACTTCACCAGATAAAGAGGCAGTTATTTTTTCCATTTACTGCGGAGTGACTTGAGGCCTCTCAAAGAAGCCAGCCAGTTCTTTTCTTGCCAGATCATTGTCCCCAGGGGCAATGTTCTCGCCTCTACTCTGCTGTACCCGCTGCCAAGTGCAACTGCTATATACATGAAGTGTGTAGGCTAAGAACATGATTTTCAAATAGGAATCTCAATATTTTAATCTAAGTATGTTGTATATTGGCTCTGTGACCGCTCTTAGATTCTGTTTCTTTTTCTATGAAATGAGGATAGTGACTGAATCTGTGACACAGAGTCTTGTGTGGAATAAATGAGCACCATTGTGGCAAGTGCTTCCCTACTGGCTCAGTGGTAAAGCACCTGCTTGCAATGCAGGAGATGTGGATTCGATCCTTGGGTCAGGAAGATCCCCTGGAGGATGAAATGGCAACCCACTCCAGTATTCTTGCCTGGAAAATCCCAGGGACAGAGGACCCTGGTGGGCTACAATGCATGGAGTCTCAAAGAATCAGACACAACTGAACATGCTTGCATGCACAATTATAGCAAGTGTTCATTAAATGGTTACTATAATTGTAATCATTATATTATTACACAGCCAGCTTATGCTGACTCTCTTAAAAAACCCAGTAGATCAAAACAACTAGGTCAAAAACAGTAAATGTATTTGCTTTTCTATTCTTTGGGCAGTAGGTGCTGGGGTTCAGGCAAGTTAATCTTTTATTTTATACCTGTCATGTTTAATTATTTGGATGCATCTTTAGAGACAGGTCCTTGAAGGTACATAAGCTTCTCTTGAGAGGAATCAGCATACAGGGGTACCGTTGCAAGTTGATGGTTGTACCCAGTTGAATAAGACTTTTTCTATCCCATTCTGCTCTCCACTGCTCCAACTGGGGGGACCAGAGATATCACTCTGAGTCATAGAAGAAGAGAGCAACAGGAGGGAAATACTAGAGAAGCTGACCACATCCAACCTCAGCCAACCTGGCCACATCCAACCTCAGCCAGCCTGGCCATTCTTTTCCTGAGGTCTGAACGTGAAAGGGCAGTGAAGCTCTGATTCTCACGAGGTCCAGATATTCCTTGGAGATGGGCAGTACAGAGGCCTGAGTCAATCTGACTCCTAGTTCATGGTACATTCTCATTACTAATTTGTGCAAAATGCTTTTCTTGTTTTGTTTATTTATGCATTTTGGTCCCCATTCTCCACTCTCAGCCCTCCGCATAGAAAACTGTTATAATGAGTTCCATATGTATTTTGTTTGTTTGTTTGTTTGTTTGTGTATGTCGTGGCCTGGAAAACTTTGTATTACTGTTTTTGCATGAATTTTCCCTGAATGTAAATGGCTCTGTATTAAGTTGTTTTGATTCTTACTTTTCACTGAGGATTGTTTTTAAGGTTTGTTCAGTTGCTCTGCGCTCTGTCACTGCAGTCAGAAGCAAGGAGTCTGGAATTTTTACTCTTAAAAACTGAGACTTTGTTAGTACCTAGGAGTGAAAGCTGTTCTCTGTCTCATGTTTCCTTCTTTCTTTCTTTCCTTGTTTTTTTTTTGAAGTGTAATTGACCTCTGTTAGTTTCAGGTACATAACATAGTGATTCAGTAATATTTCTGTACATTTCAAAATGATCACTGGTGTACAGTGATCTGTCACTGTACAAAGATATGACAGTATTATTGACTATATTCCCCACACTGTGTATTTCATCCACATGACTCATTTGGTAACTGGAAGTTGTACCTCTTAATCTCCCTCACCTATTTCACTCATCCCCTTCCCCCTTCCCCTCTGGCAACCACCTGTTTGGTCTCTGTATCTATGTGTCTGTTCTGTTTTGTTATGTTTGCTCATTTGCTTTGTTTTTTAAGTTCCATATATAAGTAAGATCATATGGTATTTATCTTTCTCTGCTTTTACTTATCCAAGGCACAGATGAACTACAAGTATGTTTGAAGAGAGTTTTCTGCAAAAAGAAAAGCGCTCTTTTATAGTTGTACCTCATTAAGTCCAGTTCTTTGAATAGTCAGCTATAGTTCAGTGTTACATGCACACAAATGAATTGGGCACTTGTGATATGCAAGATTCTGACCTCTAAAGGGTTTGGGAATCAGTAATATAATAAACAAAAGGCTCTGTAGAATCAAGGCTATTCTGGGAGCTACAGAAAGTGAGGACATGGTGGTTCAGAACAGAGAGAGAATTTTAAGGACTTTAGGAGAAAGAAGAGGGAGGATTTGAGTTGAAACTTTGAAAAAGAAGCATAAGATGGGACTTCCTTGGTGGTCCAGTGGTTAAGACTCTGCTTTCCAATGCAGGGGACATGGGTTCAATCCTTAGTCAGGGAACTAAGTTCCCACATGCCATGGGGTGAGGCAAAAAAAAAATTTTTTTTTAAAAACTATGTTGTTGTTGTTTAGTTGCTCAGTTGTGTCCGATTCTTTTGTGACCCCGTGGACTGTAGTCTGCCAGGTTCCTCTGTCCATGGAATTTCCCAGGCAAGGATACTAGAGTGGGTTGCCACTTCCTTCTCCAGGGAATCTTCCCCACCCAGGGATTGAATCTGCATCTTGTGCATTGCAGGTGGGTTCTTTACCACTGAGCCACCAGGAAAGCTAAAAAAGCATAAGATGATGTTAAACATAAGATTTTGATAGTGCAAAAGACATTGTAGCTGGGGAAAATAAGTTGAACAAAGTAATACAAGTTACAAAGTGCAGGGGGACAGCTGGGAGGTAGAAGTAGAAAAGCAGATTTTCCCCCCTTGTCTCTCCTAGTCCCTCTCCCTCCCTTCTTTGTTTTCTTCTTTCCTCCCTCCCCCTCCCCCCACCTTTTTTGACCTGAAGCAAAAGATTAGTTTATCAGCTTAAGTGGTTAATGGCTTGCTTTAGTAGGTAGTCTGTAATGTGGAACCTGCTGCCTACTCTCCACTAGATATAATAGATTTCTTGTTTTTATCAAATAGGAAAGTGAAGAGGCAGTGGTAGGGATTTCAACCTAAGGAACTCAAAAGATGTGTTCATTCTGATGTGTGGAAGAAAGGAAGAAGTGTTCATGACTTGTATTTTTAAAGTGGCAGTTTTCTAGCTTCCACATATATGCGTTAATAAACACTATTTATTTTTCTCTTTTTGATTTACTTCTTTAGATCCATCCACATCTCTGCAAATGGCACCGTTTCGTTCCTTCTTATGGCTGAGTAATATTCCATTGTATATACAAGTACCACATCATATCTATGCATACAGCTGATTCACTTTCCTGTAGAGCAGAAATTAACACAGCATTGGAAAGCAACTGTGCTACAAGAAAAAAGTGGAAATTTTTATATTTTGACCCCATGCCTCTGAATTTAATATGTTCGCCTATCATTTTATTTTGTATATTTTATAAAAATAAAAAAGAGACATTCAAGTTCTTTTATGTACCCATTGCTACATTACAGAACACTTATGCTGTAACTCTGCAAGGTTTTTCAGGGTCTGCTTGGTGGATATACTGTGCTTTTGCATTTTTCCTTCAACATGACTTAACTGAAAATTTTAGAGGCATTTACATTCCTTATGATAAACGGTGAAGTTCTGTGATTTGTATGAATGAACTCTAGACCTAAAATGTTCCTGTTGGCCATACTGATCTCGCCACTTTCCTAACCATATTCCTCATGCATTAATTCTCGTCTTAGTCTGTCTCAGGTGAAACATCTGACATCCAGAGCTATGTTTTGATGTCAGCTTAGACAGTCGCCTGTCATCTGTGAGAGAGCCCTGGGTCAATTTGAGTTGTTTAGGGAACTTGATGTGGATGGAGTTCATACCATGGAAACGATCTCTAAACTTCAGGTCAACAGTAGGATTTTGAAATCAGCAAGCTAAAATCCAAGTTCAAACAGGAGTATATTTGTCTTAACCATAGATTCAGCGGGATCTCTTAGTCTTTTTTTTTCTTCCAACTTTTTATTTTATATTGGAGGAGAGTCGATTAACAGTGTGATGATAGTTTCAGGTGGACAGTAAGGGGACTCAGTCATACATATACATGTATCCATTCTTCCCCAAACACCTCTCCCTTCCAGGCTGCCACATAACACTGAAGTAAGTTCCCAGTGATACACAGTAGGACCTTGCTGGTTATCCATTTTAAAGATAGCAGTGTGTACATGTTGGAAGGATCTCTTAGTCTTATTCTGTGTTTCCTTTTTTTTCCCCCAGAGCATTTTATCAAGGCCCTGCCGGAATACCACGTGGTGGCTCCTGTCCGAGTCGATGCGAGCGGGCATTTTCTCTCTTATGTCTTGCACCATTCTGTCTCCGGCAGCAGGAGAAAGAGAGATTTGGATGGCCTAGAGGACCGGGTGTACTATAGAATTTCACACGAGGAGAAGGACTTGTTCTTTAACTTGACGGTCAATCAGGGATTACTTTCCAAAAGCTACATCGTGGAGAGGAGATACGGGAACCTCTCCCATGTGAAGATGGAGGCTTCCTCGGGGCCCCCCTGCCATCTCAGGGGCACAGTTCTGCAGCAGGGCACCGGGGTCGGCATTGCAGCCCTCAGCGCCTGCCGTGGACTGGTGAGTCCTCTTCCTTCTCTGCCCTCAGACCCTGGCTGTCACGGCCTGGACACCCACAGGAAACAGGTTCACACACACATTCAACACATATGAATTGAGCACTTGTGATATACATGATCCAGGCTCCCAAACAGCCTGGGGAAAAAGTGCATAAAGTTAAAAGTCAAATCCATCTGGATGGAATGGAGAGAATAAGGGCATTGAGGGTCCAGGGAGAAGTTCAACCAAGGATATCACAGCAGGAAGTGGAGGGAGGGGATCAGAGTTGAGTCTTCAACCTCTGAGACAACTCTGAGGGTATTGGTGACTGGTTGGCTGGCTAGCCCCTTGGAATTAGGAAAATCTGGACCTGGACTGGGTGTGAGGCATATAGTAAGGATGGTGAGGGACTTCCCTGGTGATCCAGTGGTTAAGATTTCAAGCTCCCAGTGCAGGGGGGTTGGATTTGATCCCTGCTCAGGGAACTAAGATCTTGTCTGTCTCTTGGCAGAGCCAGAAAAAAAAAAAAAAAAAAAAGATAGTGCTTGCCAGTAGTTGCTATGAGCTCATTGTTGATTCTCAGTTCAGTTCAGTCGCTCAGTCATGTCTGACTCTTTGTGAACCCATGGACTGCAGCACGCCAGTCCTCCCTGTCCTTTACCAGCTCCTGGAGTTTACTCAAACTCATGTCCATTGAGTTGGTGATGCCATCCAACCATCTCATCCTCTGTCATCCCCTTCTCCCGCCTTTAATCTTTCCCAGCATCAGGGTCTTTTCTAGTGAGTCAGTTCTTTGCATCAGGTGTCCAAAGTATTGGAGTTTCAGCTTCAGCATCAGTCCTTCCAATGAATATTCAGGACTTACTTCCTTTAGGATGGACTGGTTGGATCTCCTTGCTGTCCAAGGGACTCTCAAGAGTCTTCTCCAACACCACAGTTCAGAAGCATCAATTCTGGCGAGTTTATAATCAGACTGCACATGGACCCTGGGGCTGTCAGTTGATCCCTTTGTGCCTCTGTTTTCTCCTCTGTGGAATGGAGATAATAATAGTCCTCAACTCACAAAGCAGGGGTTGGTAAACTACAGCCCTTGGGCCAAACCTGGGTCACCTTTTGTTTTTATAAATAAAGTTTTATTGAAACACAGATATGCCCATGCTTTTGACTAACAACAGCAGATCTGAGTGGTCAGGATAGGGACTGTGTGGGACTATGAGGCCCCAAATATTTGCTGTCTGTGCTTTGCAAGAAAAGTATCTTAATCTCTGTAATACAGGACTGTGAGTAATAAATGCATTTGTGTATATATATATATTATATATATACATTATATATAATATATATATAAATCTTAGAAGAGTATCTGGTAATTAATGGACATAATGAATATTGGCTGCTATTATTATTTATGTTTCTAATATACCAGGCACCTGAATGTGTGGTTTATTATGTGGTTTATGCTCATTGTCCTCTCTATAGCATTACCCACCTCACCACCTTTTTGGTTATGTTTTAACAGATGATGAAGTTTGGATATGTTGAACATCTTTACTGTGCTGTTGTTAATTTCAGCCCATGTCTTTTAGGTGGTACATCTCAAAATGTGACCAAGTTTGTTTTTTCAAAATTTAAACTTAAAAGAAAAAAGTGGCCCCTTTGTTCCCCTGGACTTCTAGTGTGACAGCAGCGACTGCCCCTCTGGCAGCTGCCTGGCAAACAGTGCCTGAGAATGATGTTGAGGTTTTTGTCACACTGGAGTCGGAGTCAGGGGTCAGTACCAATCAAGTGTGCTTAGGGCCCGACTGCAGGGGGAGAGGTGCTGGAGTCCTGGAGGCAGTTGTTGGCAGAGCCTAGGGCATCCGCCTTGGCACTGTGCCAGAGCAGGTTTTTTGGATAAACTCCTGGGTGGCATTCGCATTCCTATAGGAGGCGCTCATTTCAAGTTTTCCATCCTTACTGCCTGTTTCTTGAGAATCCTGTTCTTCATAGTTTGAGTTTGTTTATCCTGTATCTGTTTGAGTTGGCTTTGCTAGAAAACTGTGGGAAGATTAACATAAAACATTGTTGTTGTTTAGTCATTAAGTCATGCCCAACTCTTTTGGGACCCCATGGACTGTAGTCCACCAGGTTCCTCTGTGCATGGGATTTCCCAGGTAAGAATACTGGAGTGGGTTACCATTTCCTTCACCAGGGGATCTTCTGGACCCAGAGATTGAAACTGCATCTACTGCATTGGCAGGTGTATTCTTTACCACTGAGCTACCTGGGAAGCCCCATGAAACACTGTACATCATTGTAAATGTCTTGAGAAAGTTCAACTTTCTGAAGGACCTCTGTGAATGAATTGTTTTGTACAGTAAGTGGAAAGTCTTGCTTTGCCCTTTATTTGGTATATCTAGATTTTCATATATAGCCGTGTATCATTTCCCCTTAATTGGATCATAAACAGCACAATAAATTATACCCTCTTTGTCTCCCTAGGCCTCATTCACTGCTTGGTTGAACTGAGGGATATCTCCTGGCTTCATGGTCCTCATCCTCTGAGTTTTCTCTGGGTTCATAGATGTTTTCCCTGTGCAATCCCTGCTCTCATTTCTATGACACAACCCTGGAAGCATCAGTGTCACCTGATCTTCCCAGAGTAGCAGAATAAAGAGCCTTTGTTCTAGGACAGGCACATAAGAGTGAAGTGATCCACAAGAGAAACATGCAAAGGCCACACTGCTCCAGGGGATACTCATGTGGGGACCTACATATAGTCATTAACCATTCATAAGCCATTATTGTGCTCATAAAATTTTAGAAAGCTTAAACACCATTGCCTTTCTGTGGCCTAGAGCCGTTTGGTCTATGACCTCACAGAATAAATATCACCCCAAATTTCTCCACTTCACGCCCACAGCATCAGAATCTCTGGGGGTGGGCAGAAACCTATATGAGTGTGTTTTAACAACTCTGTGTGTGTGCTCATTTGCTCAGTTTGGGCCACTCTTTTGTGACCCCATGGACTGTAGCCCACCAGTCTCCTCTGTCCATGGGACTTTTCAGGCAAGAATACTGGAGTGAATTGCCTTTTCCTCCTCCAGGGGAGCTTCCCGACCAATGCAGGGATCCTGCATTGGCAGGTGGATTCTTTACCACTTAGTCCCTGGGGAAGCCCTTGAAGCTTTATTGAGATAAAATTCACATACATAGAATTTACCACTTAATGCGTACAATCCAATGACTTTAAATATATTCACAGGGTTGTGCACCCATCACCACAATCAATCTTAGAACATTCTCATTGGCCCCCAAAGAAACTGTTAGCAGTCATTCTCCAATCCTCCCATCTCCGCTCCTCCTCGGGAACCATGGATCTACTTTTGATCTCTGTTATCTGCTTTATTAAATAATTGATTTATTTGGCTGTGCTGGGTCTTTGTTGCAGCTCGTGGGGTTCTTTAGTTGCCGTGCGTAGGCTTACTTGCCTGGCAGCTTGTGGGACCTCAGTTTTCCCACCAGGGATCTGCATTGGAAGGTGGATTCTTAATCACTGGACCACCAGTGAAGTGCCTGAAATTTTGATTTAATGAACTTTTTAGGAGACTCTGATGCTCACCGAAGTATGAGAAGCCCTGGACTAGGGCAGTCATTGTTAAACCAGGCTGATCATTAGGATCAATTAAGGAGCTGCTTTTTTTTTTTTTAATTGAAGTGTAATTGATTTACAATACTGTGTTAGTTTCAGGTGTCCAGCAGAATGATTCTATTTTATATGTGTATATTTTTCAGATTATTTTTTGTTTAGATTCTTACAAGGTGGTGAATATAGTTCTCTGTGCTATATAGTAAATAATTAAGAAGCTTTAAAAAATTACCTATGCCCAACCCCATCTCCCAGATGCTCTGATTTGACTGGTCAAAGGGGAGTGGGGCCCAGAATCAGTGTTTTTAAAAACTCTTTAGGAGAGTCTGATGTACCTTAGGTGTTGCCAACCACTGAATTAGTGTGAATGGGTGTTAATTAGCAGGATTAGCCAATATTGCTGTAAAGTAGCTGCTCTCCCCAGGATTCTAGTGCGCAGCCAGGATTGAGGACCATTGCCCTCAACTGCTCGCTAATTTCACCTTGTTTTCTCTAAAGGAAATTGTATATTGTTTAGAATTTTCCAGGTTTGGGAATAGAATGGGAGCGCTGCAATTTCTAATGGCCCCAGGGAGCTATGAGAACCACCATATGGGTCTTTTCAGATTCAGATTCATTTAAAACACAGGAGCACAAAGAAGCAAATGTGAACTCAAAGACTTATGTGGTGGCTAAGGTGATGGGAAATTTGAGATTCAAATCATTGAATGAGTTTTCCAGAAGAACCAATTCACTGGGCTTGTTCTAGAGCTTTTGACACATAATTAATTGGGCAATTAGTGGATGGCTATAAAAAAAAAGGCACCAAAGCCAAAAGTTTCTTTGGTGAGCATACAAGCTGGCTGGCTTCAGGTTCACTTGCTCAGGTACCATCCTTCAACAATGCTCACCTACAGTGGTTCTAGTCAAAAGTTGGTGGTTGGACTTGTGTCTGATTTCTTTGACCACTTGTCTGGGAGCTGATCTCCAGGATATTTCTCTTCCCTTTCACCTAGGGTTGACCCCACACTTAGATTCACAGGATGACAGGCTTAGAATATGCCAGCTCTAAGCCTCCCCGCACTCCTGAGGACAGAGGTGGCATTTGGGAAGGCTTTCTGATGCAGGAAACCCTCTTTTGTGGAGCAGGACATCTGCTTCTCATTCTTATGGCTCAGGGCTGGCTTATTCTATGCTTCAGATGTGGTAATCCTAATGTTAGGGGCTGTGTTCCCTTGGAGTTGTCTATAATTTGAGGTTCCTTTAGTCTCCCTTAGAGAAGACTCAGCTGGTTGCAAACTGAAGACCCGAGAAAGGTCACCCATGACAAGATGGAGATGACCTCCTTCCTGCAGTTAGTATCCTCTCACATGACCATGGTGCCCATCCTCTTGGAGGCTGCTTGCAGACCAGG